AAGGTTCAGAAAAAGTTCAGCCCAACAACGGCACTATCTGCAAAGATGCAGGCTCCTCGTTCATTTCCACTGTGCTGGTGCTGCCGTGTTTCAAATCAACAGAAACTACTCTGCTGTGAAGTTGTGTCTGGGAAGCCCTCAGCACCAGTTCTTCTGGTTTCTATGTCGTCTTTTCACCCTTATGCCAGACGCCCTTTGCACTGTTGTGCTGTGGAACATTATATATAATAATTACTATTATAAATGGTTGGCAAATCTGACTTCAAATGACCTGTAAATGAAAGAGTAGCAAAGGCCAGATGCTTTTATTATGCGTTTTATGTTTAATCCAAGGAATTTTTTTGACAGTGACAATTTTGATCTTATTTGTCAGATGGAATTCCTCATCAGAATATGAGTACTCTTTGCATTACGGAAAACATTTTAAATTTCCATTAAAACTTGTCATCCTTGCAATATTTCTCATCTGCCTATGGCTCCATTCACACTGTTGTGGTTTTTGCAGTTAAAAAGCAGCCTCATGTTGTGCTGATGATGAAAATATGTTTTATTATAACTGTGCCTCGCTGCTTCTATCAGTGAACTGTACCAGCTACACATCTTAAACATGTACAAACTCCCTCAGCACAGATATCCGCTACTAACTTTTCTACAGTTACTCCATCCATTTTCATTGTGTATGTTGTTGTTGGCCGCCTCTGTGTTGTCTGTCCCTGCTCCTCCTTTCATTTTATTTACTCAGTCACTGTTATGAATGCTTCTCTAAAATGTTGAACTGTGCTCCTTGAAGAAGATGCCAGCAACAGCACTTTTTCCAAAGCTCCCAGCCGGTCCCTGTATGCTTTAGAGTGAGAATAGTGTGAGCATGGCTTACAACGATCCCACCAGAGGCTTTGAAAGTGCATGGCACAGCGTCCTGGAGTGTTCTCATGGGTAGCACCTGGAAGCTGCGGAGCATTTTGTTTCTGTGCTACGAGAATAACCCAGTTTTAGTAGTGTGTGCCATGCATTCTGGTGTCTTTGGCTTCAGTCAATGGTAAATATTATTTAAGCATTTCAATACTAGTAGAAATCTTAAGTGCATCCAACTGTGGTAACTGTGGCACATCACATTACCTAAAGCCTGCCTACAGTTAGTTCTACTGTAAGTCAGTCACACAGAGGGGAAAGAAAAAAACGCAAAGGGTTCCATGTTTGGCCTCCAAAGTTCTGTACATCAAAATCAGGATTGAAGTTGTTTGATTCTTTAACTTGTGCCAATGAGTTTACATATGCCTACATTTATGTTAAGCGTCACATCTTTCATCCATTTTTCAGTCTGTTGCATTTTTAATTATGTTTCCTCCATACAATGAAGCTGCATTACATTCAAATCACTATGTACAATGGAGAATTAAAAAAATAGATGTAGTAATCCTCAGAATTTATGAAGCCAATAAGCCTTCCTTGATAGGAAATTCCTGACCTGTGCTTTATCGTCTAAAGTGTGTATCATCTATCTTTCCTGTTTTCCTCTTTTCTTCTCCCTCTTTTCGTTGTTAAACTGTAAGATAGATCATTAGTTTTAAATGGACTTCAATCCGCTCATTACATGTCCCATTTACCTTCACTGCATAACGCTCTACTTTTCATAATGAGACAGAAAGAAGGGGGGTGAAGGGAACCACATATGGAAATGTGTAGAGTGAAAAAAGCAGAAAGATGAAAAAATTACAGATAGAAAGAGAGAAGGAAATCAGAAAATTATCAAAATCTATGAATAAGGACATAAGAAGCAATTCTTTCTATTTGTTGACATCAACGTTACTATCAGTGTTAAATATCTAATCAACTACAACTCAATGAACAACGAGATAAAATAACCATCATGATAATGAATACACTTCTTTCAAACTGTTTCTTTCTCTACCATTTAACAGCTAATGAGTGATGGCAGATAGGGGGAGTATTTGAACCATGTAATCACATTTTTATCTGTGTTATTTTTCTGTGCTTTTCATCAACCCTGCAGTAGGTGATGCAACAGAAAGGTCAGTGCACTGTCTGTGTGTGTGTGTGTGTGTGTGTGTGTAGATTTCCACTTTGTAGTTACAATACAAACTGTGCAGTTCTTTCCCTTCCTCCATGTTGCTTTTAATGTGTTTTTCAATCCATTAGTTCTTTCAGTTTGTGCACTTGGGTCAGTGACTTTTACTTTTTGCTTTTAATAGTGTGCTTTTATTTGTGCCATAATATGCATGTTTATAGATGAGTGCCTGTTGAGTGTGTGTTATATCAGTTTACTATGTCCACATTTGTTTATACTTTTAATTGATGAGTCTTGTTTATGACAATGTTGATAAGGCCAATTTATGCAAAACTGCTGCAGTAAGTGCAATTTTACCATCAAATAATTTGTTTTATGTCACTCCACAGAGGTGTTAATGACATTAAAACTCTTGAAACTCGTAAAAAAAACCTCCCATAATTTGGGATTTGCTGCATTGAATTTACAGCAAGTCACAGGAGAGCCACAGTTGACTCCGTTGCTGCCCCTCCTTTTCTCTGTATCTTTCATTTCCTTCAACTAATCTAACTTCTTCTAGTTCACGTATCGTCCTTCTTCCTGATTCTTTAATGTGCATGTGTTACTGTTCCCTGTAATACCAATTTTGCATTACTTTCAGCCATTTTGTCTCACTCTGTAATGTTCATCGAGTCATTCAATTTTCTTTGAAATTTACTGGCTGGAATCAAATAATAAGAAGTGAAAGGGAACCCTAGGGAGTGAGGTAAACAAGACATTTCAATGTGATTTGGCAATCACAATCTCTACTAGGCCACTGACGCACATCTTTGTTGTCATTGTCATTCCCATACGTTTATTTTCACAGCATACAGAACAGGATTTGAAGGATGAATACAAAATGATACCCAGAGCCAAACAACCAAGCAATTTTGCAACTCTTCTTGTCAACCACCACTGTTAAACTGGTTAAGTGTTTTAAACTTCTCTGTATTTTCCACTTGTCAGTCATCACATCCTGAATTAAGATTAGGATTAAGATTCCTTTATTATCCCACAATCATTCACACTACATGAGAATGGGGAAATTTGACCTCTGCTTTTAAGCACAGCAATACACACAGTGACCACACAGAGCAGTGGACAGCTATTGAAAGGCCGGGGAGCAGCAGAGGAGTAAGGTGCAGTGGGATAGGGAGAGTCCATCTGTCTCTAGCAGATCCAGGTCTGGTCCATCCTACAGTCCAGGTATGTTTGTCAGTCTATGGACTGGAACCAGCAACCTTCAAGTCTGATGTGCCTCTTTTCAAACCACTTGTCCACGAGGCCACCGCTGCTCCCATGCAAACCATTTTCTGCTGCTGCGACTCAAACTTCTGGCAGGAGCAAGTTCAATTCAATCTATTCTTCTTTACACTAACTTCCATCCCCTCCTCCCATACGTTATTCTCACAACACTGTCCTCTGCCCTCCATCTTTTCCTCTGATTGTTCTTTTCATCACCCTTACCTCAGCACTGCCTCCTCTTGTATCTGACCTATATCTTTTTTTTTCTCTCTCGAACTATTCAGTCAATTATGTCTGTACAGAACATCCACCCCCATCTCTTTTCTTTCCTGCCTCTCTGTTCATGTTTTCCTCTCTGGCTTAAGGCCACTTCTGCTTAATCCTGTTTGACAATACCCAAATGAGGCTGAGACATTAGTAATTAAGGAACTTCATATGCCCTTTAAAGACACCCAAAACACACTCCAGGAGAGGATAAACACAGACACGCAGCTTGCTGATGCACTGACAGGAAGATCAGCAGTTTGTGCAGCTCGTATTGGAAGCAACATTTCATCAGTGTGTTGCCTGCGTTGCATAGGAATTATTAAGAGGGTGTCTGTGGTCTCAAGCGTTTTGTTTCATATCTGTAAAACTAAACCACAAGCTTGTGTCAGTTCCCATCGTCTTGAAAAGACCCTCTCCACATAAATTTAGATTAAAACACCTTAGTCCCATGCAAAAGGACAACTCGAGTTTCAGCTTATAAATACTATATTCTATTTGGGGAACTGTAGCTAAAGGTAAAGATAATCTGAGAAAACTCAGAAGAGTTCAAAGAAAAAATTGAATCTCACCTGGAAAACTGAAATCAAAGTGGTACTTTTACAAGAACAAAAATATTGATGCTTGAACATTCTTTGAGACTAGAAAGTTATCTAGGGTGAATGTCATATTTACAAGATTTTGTGCATCGAGAACTGCAATGCAATGTACAGATACGATCATTGGTTACATTAATTAGCAATTCAAAAGGGGGTTTGTGATACAGCAGGACACAATACAACAGACAAAGGCTATATCTAAATATCTAAATAAGTATGTTGGCCAAAATCACTGTAATATCTCTTAAAAGTCCAGATGCTCTGATAATTGGGAGATTCTAGGATAACACATATTTATAGCTGAATCCAATTGTGAAGTAGAATTTGATCAGGCAGCATGATACTTTGCAAATGGAGCATTGAACATTGTTTTTTACCTGCAGTGGTTCTAATAGGGCTTCATAAATATAGGGGGAAAAAGATTTAGCACAGCTCATCTGCTCTGCACTACACGTGTTCAAGTGCATGTATCAGGGGAAGACTCGACTTGGTAACAGCCTGACCCTTGCACACAGTAGCCTGAAGGGATTTTGTTCCCCCTGTCAGGCTGCCAATCACCAGCACACCTATTTCTGCAGAGAGCTGATTATAAGTCACAGTGCCACAGAGCTCGCTACTACGCTTACCCACAGAGTTTTACATAACGCTAGTTTTTCCTAAATTGTAATTTGTGGTGTGACTATCTTAGTAATTATGCAAGAAAACACACCTCATACAAATTCTACCACAAATAAAATGTTAAGAGCAGGGGTAACATGCAAAGTCAACCATTGTGCCAAAATGCTTGTCTGATGCACACACACATATATTCACATGCACACTTAGAAATGAATGAGACTACTTACTTTAGGTCCTGGAAGGGTTCTGCCCTCACATGTGATGTCTCTACAGAATGGCTGAAAACCACACCTTCGTTCCCTGGACAGAGAGGATGAAAGTAAGGAAACTAAATCACATGTGTCTTTCGTGTGGAAGCCTGCAACATAATACCTCCAACTTTTATTCTTTGAGTTGAAGCAGGCACTTAAAATGCAGGACATTGCTGCATGTGTCATACAGATGTTGTCCAAATATAACAATGACTTTATTGACATGCACTAAACAAAGACGATTTACCTTATTCTGAATAAGACATTACTTTGATAGTTTACATGAGCTGCTAATAGAACATCCAGGCATATTCCCATTTGCATGTTGCAAATTGTGACTTGAGTCAAATTTATGTCCACTATGTCATACATCTGACGTTTCCACCAGAATTTAAAACCCCAGACTGAAGTAATTAATTGTATTTAATTTTTATTGTTTTCTTTCAAATTTAGCAACATTTTAAACTTGTTATTTTTCCATATTAGTAACATGCAAACCCAGGCCATGAGTCATCAAGTCGTTGGTAACTACAGGATAAAATTTTGCAAAATGCTGTGTACACATAATGTGACTAGGTCGGAATACTTAATTTGATTATTGCTATTCCAAGTATGACCATATGGTTAAGGTAATCAGAAATTGCTGATTACATGACAGTGTCTTAGTCAGACTGTTGTCTTTAACGGGTTACTATCAGAATAGTAGTCCATGTAAGAATGATGCCAGGAGCATTATTTTTAAATACATTTACCC